GTGTAGCAGGTGGCAGCAGCAGTTCTGGCAGCCGGGGTTTGGGCAACATAGTGGGCAGCCACGAGGCGGGCAGCTGCCCTGTCGCAGGGTGCTATAGCCAGGGCGTGAGAGGGAACTGGGCATAGGTGTTGCTGGGCAAAGGGGGTGGAGGGTACTGGTCAGGGGGCAGGGTGGCTGGATATGCTGGAATCGCAGGGGGTGATTGTAAGGGGTTGGGGACACATCTGGTAAAGGGTGCTCAGGATGAGGATGCAGAGCTTGGAGAGCCCATGGATGCTGGAACGGTGGGAGCAAGGCTGGGTAGGAGTGGGATTGGGTATCAAGGCGGGTGGTTTTCAGGCTGGGTGGGTGCAGGGTCATGCACCTTCTTAATTAGCCCATGTTTTAGTATTTGTTCTTACAAAACTATGTATACATTTTAATATGTATACACTGGTGGATTTACTGGTGGGTGCCACCGTGGTACATATCCGAGCAAGAGCACATGATGTCAATATACCAAACTCCCTACCATGACAGATGGAAAATCTTAGAGGGAACACTGCCCCCTACCCAAGCAGAAGCCGCAGGGGGGCAGGGGCTAGCCTCTGCCTTAGTTGCATAGAGCCCCACAGAGGAAGGACAGCCCTGGCCATGCTGTAGGGTGGGCAGAATCATACAGCATTCAGTTAGGACCTCTGAGAGGGCTAAGGAGGCGGGTAAGAGAATGTCTCCCATTGGTAGTGAGAAGGAGGTGGGAATCATGTTTGGGAACAGAGAATGTGATACGTAGTAAAAACTATTATAACTCATCTTTGGTCCCTCAGGCTATGTCTACACTGCAGAGTTTTTGTGCAAAAAAGGCTGTGTATGCACAAAAACTCGCGGAGAGTTCACACCTCAAATGCATTTTTGCACAAGAAAATTTACAGTGAATTAACAGAACAGAAGGGTTTTTGCGGTATAGGTACTCCTCTTTCTGAGAGAAATAACTCGTTTTTGCGCAAGAGCTCTTATGCAAAAAGGTGTGTGTGGACAGAAAACGGGGTTTTTTTGCGCAAAAACAGCCTATCGAAAGAAGCACAGATGCCCTGGTGGCCATTCTGTTTATGGCAGCAGAGCTTTCTTGCACGAGAGTGACCATGCAGTCTGGATGCTCTCTTGTGCAAAAGTGCATTGCTTTTCTGATGTGCTTTTGCAGTGTGGACATGCTCTTGTGCAAGAAGTTTTTGCAGAAGATCTCTTCCACAAAAAGCTTCTTGCACAAGAAGCCTGCAGTCTAGATGTAGCCTCAGTGGAGAATCATGAAGGCAAGCCACCTGATTCCTAATATTCTAAAAGTAAAATTCAAGATGATCATATAAACCATCTCCAACAGCTGCAGGGTTTGAGCAGAAATGAATGTGACAACTTGGGCCCAGACAATAAGCCAACTAAATGCCTACTATGTCATTGTACTATAAAAATATATCCAGTAAGGTTTTGATAAAACTTGCAATGTTCTGAACTTGGTCATTATGAGATATAAATACAGAGCCTGATTATGAATGTACGTATGCATATACACAGAAAACTGAAAATTGTAACTGCAACATTAGCATCACCTCATAATAAGGCGATGAAGCAATCAATCAGGAATAGTCCAGCTCCCAAGCCAGATGCTTATATTATATCAGCTTCAAGTACCCATCCATTGTCCAGCCTTGGAAAGGACAACGATAGATTATTCAAGTTAATGGAAAGACATAGATACAACTGGGAATGTTCCCTATCTGAATAACCAGAAGTCATCACAGTCTGAGAAGGAAAAAAAAAAGAGTAAACATCTTTTTTTAAAGGGGTCTTGAAGTAGAAGTTTTATTCCAGAAACTGAGGGACCTAGTGGGAAGCGATCTGGAAACACTGGGTCGGCATCTAGACTGGCAAGTTTTTCCGCAAAAGCAGAAAAACTTACCAGCTGTCTACAATGGCCGCTTAAATTTGTGCAAGAACACTGATGATCTAATGTAAGATTGTCAGTATTCTTGCGCAAATACTATGCTGCTCCCGTTCGGGAAAAAGCCCTCTTGCGCAAATGTAGGGCCAGTGTAGACAGCGAAAATGGCGAAAATGGAGATCGGGGCTTTCTTGCGCAAAACCGCGTCTAGATTGGCACGGACGCTTTTCCGCAAAAAGTGCTTTTGCGCAAAAGTGTCCGTGCCAATCTAGAAGCTCTTTTCCACAAATGCTTTTAACGGAAAAACTTTTCCGTTAAAAGCATTTGCGGAAAATCATGCCAGTCTAGATGTAGCCATGTGATCGCCTCATCACAAAAAGATATATTGGATTTGGAAAAGGTTCAGAAAAGGTCAACAAAACTGATGAGGGGTTTGGAATGGGTCCCATATGAAGAGAGAGAAAAAAGAGTAGGACTTTTCAGCTTAGAAAAGAGGACGTTAAGGGAGGGATAAGATGGGGGTCTATCAAATCAGGACCAGTGTGGACAAAACAAACAAGGAAAAGTTATTTACGTAATCCCACAATATAAGAACTAGAGGTCATCAAATGAAATTAATAGACATTAGGTTTTAAATAAACCAAAGAAAATTTTTCCTCACTCAGTGCATAGTCAAGTTGTGGTACTCCTTGGCAGAGGATGTGGTGAAGGCCAGGACTTTCACAGAGTCCAAAAATAAAGAGCGAGATAGATCCATGGAGTTTAGGTCCATCAAAGGTTATTAGCCAGGATGGGTAGGAATGGTGTCCCTAGCCTCTGTTCCTCTGGAGGTGAGTGATGGAGGAAGGATCACATGAGTATTACCTGTTGTGTTCCCTCCCTCTGGGGCATCTGGCATTGGCCACTGTTGGCAGACAGGACAGTGGGTTAGATGGACGGCTGGTCTGACCCAGTCTGGCCATTCTCAATATTCTTGTTTCCCCTCTGATCCGATTTGTCCTGCAAGTTTTTTTGGGTCATCATGAGAACATGGGAAGGGCCAGAACAAAGTATGGGGGAGGATCCATTAGGGGATGAGGAGGGAGCACTAGATGCCTTCCCTATATCTCATGGCCTTGGTTTCTCTACTTTTACATCAGAACTTATAGCTCTGCCCGTATTCCCCTTCACCTCCTGCACCGGGGAAAACTCGGTGAATTTCACTTCTGCGGTCAAAATCTTGGATTGTTTCCTAGGTGCAGAAACTGGGATTGATCCCAGGGGACCTTTATCCTTCCACGTTGGCATCTAATTACATTTGGTTCCTCAGGAAAATGCCACCTCCAGTTAGGGACAACAACCCTCCATTCTGTGAAATTAACCATTCCTTGGGTTCCGTGGGATATCAGTACCAGGCATTGTCCAGTCTAGAGGCAAGAGGTTTGGATACAGGACTCCTGGCTTCTTTCCCTGAATCTGCCTCTGACCTCCTGAGATCCGGTCCCTTCCTCTCCCCCTCTCTCTGCCTCGCTTTCCCGTCTGATCCTTCCTGAATTGCTCCTCTTGGGCCTGCAAGTTCTTTGGGGTCATCGTAAGAAGATCAGAGCAGCCAGCCTGTGTCAGATCAAAGGTCCCTCCAGCCCAGAGTCCTGTCTGCCCACAGTGGCCAATGCCAGGTGCCCCAGAGGGAGTGAACAGAAGAGGGTATCCTCATTTGATCCTTCTCCTATCATCCATTCCCAGCTTCTGGCAAAGAGAAGCTAGGGGACCCCGTCCCTGCCCACCTTGGCTAACAGAGAATAACACTTTCCAGCAATCAACAGCCTTGACATAAGCTGCCTGCTGTGCAGACAGGAGCAGAGATGAGGAAGAGATAGACCCAGTGCCATGTTATGGGACCAGTCCTGCACAGAACAGGACAAAGTCTCAGTCCAGGACTCATCTCATGGCGTTGCTCTCTCTGCTTTTACAGCTGGACCCACATCACCATCTGTCTTCCCCCTCACCTCCTGTGTCGGAGAAGCCACCACCTCCCAGGTCACCTTTGGCTGCCTGGTCAAAGACTATACCCCTGAGCCGGTCACCGTGCAATGGAGCCCCAGTGTCAGCGCCTCAGGACTGAGAACCTACCCCTCCATGCTGCAAACTTCCAGCGGCCTCTACTCGCTCAGCAGCCAGGTCACCGTCCCAGCCAGCAGCCGGGAATCCAACACCTATCGCTGCACCGTCGGTCACCAGCCCACCCGCTCCAGCATCACCAAGGAAATCCCAAGTAGGGGCAGCGTGGCCGAAGGAGGGAAGCGGGAGGGGTCACTGATGTGATGAGGGTTGCAGTGGGGGGGTACCCTGCTAGTGGGGTGGACCGGTGGAGATGCTGGTGTGGGCGGATGGAGGGAAAGGGAGAAATGATGGAAAGACAGGAACGTCGTGGGTTAGGTCGATGGTGTTCGGTCTGGACAGAGAGCATGTGGGGCCATACATTGAAAGGCAGAGGAGTGAGATGAGAGAGACCCTGCAAAGAGAAGCAACAGGTGTGGCACCACAGGGAAAAGGGACAGAGGTCTCCAAAGGGGGCATCGTGCCGTCAGGAGCAGAATGCCAGATGGGGAGGGCCATGCTAGAGGAAAAGGGATGGAGGGACCGGTAGGGGCTTGTACAGCAACTAACACTTGCCACCCTTCTCCCAGAAACTGCCAGCTCCAAACCCCACCCACCCACGGTGCAAGTCTACCACTCCTCCTGCACCACCAAGCCAAGCACCATCCACCTGCTCTGCCTCATCTCCAACTTCTCCCCCATGCCCCTGAAAGTGGAATGGCTGGTAGACGGGGTGTCTGGGCAGCTTCATGGTGTCACAGCCCCTGCTCAGAAGGATGCCGGTGGCAGAACCTACAGCACCCACAGCAATGCCAGTGTCTCCCAGGAAGAGTTTATGGAGGACAAGACGTACACCTGCAGAGTGTTCCATCCGGGTACTGGGACCACGGAGGAGGGCGAAGCCCGCAAGTGCAAAGGTGACACTGAGCTGGGATGCCATCTGGGTTCGAGGGAGGAGCAGGGAGACTGGGGTGGGCTCAGACAGGGGAGACTAGGCCTAGCGTTTGACGTGATCTCTACTGTTTCCAGATGTATCTACATCTACCAGCAACATCCTCGTCTTCATGGTGCCCCCATCCCCTGCTGAACCAAGCCCGAAAGTGCAAAGGTGACACAGAGCCGGGATACTTAGGAAGGGTGGGAAAGGGAAACTGGGCTGGGTTTGAGGGAGGAGAAGGGAGATTGGGGTGGGCTTGGGAGAGGGAGAGCAGGTCTAGTGGCTGACTCAGTTTCTCCTGTTTCCAGACTTATCTACATCTACCAGCAACATCCTGATCTTCATGGTGCCCCCACCCCCTTCTGAGCTCTATGTGGGCCTCAGCCCCACGCTCACCTGCCTGGTCGTCAACCTGCCTAACGACGCTGACCTGAAAGTGGTCTGGTCCCGGGAGAAGTCAGGAACCATTAGCCCCGAGCCCCTCGTCTTATCTGAGCAGCGCAACCGCACCTTCACCGCCTCCAGCTCCCTGGCCATCTTCCCCCGCGACTGGGAGACCGGAGACAAATACAGCTGCAAAGTGGAGCACTCGGAGCTGCCCTCACCCATCATCAAATCCATCTCCAAGAGGGAAGGTAAGAGGAGTGTACGGTCCCTAACAGGAAAGACCCCAATTATAGACCCCAAAAGGGAGGGAGGGTCTTTCAGGGGGAGTCCCAGTCTCTAACAACATGGGCTCCTGGCCCTGGGTCCCTCTCTATCCCCATGTGAGATGAAACCAACCTACCTCCCATTCCACACCCCAGCCCTCCCCACCAACCTGGAGGACAGAGGTCATGTCCCCTCCCCCCACACAGACACAGGCCCTGTCCATCTCCCCATGTGGCTCCAGCCCAGTGGTGTGCATGGCTCATCTGTGTCCTCCATTCCCACCCACCCAAGGAAAGAGCTCCCCTCCGAATGTCTACCTCCTGCGCCCCCATCATGATGAACTGAATGGCAACAGCAATGGAGATACTGTCAGCATCACCTGTCTGGTGCGGGGCTTCTACCCCGAGGACATCTCAGTGAAGTGGATGGAGGATCACCAGCCCAGTGACAACAACAAATCTGTCACCACCTCGCCCATGAAGGAAGGAGCTGGCGGCGACTCAACCTACTTCCTCTATAGCAAGCTAACAGTCGACAAGGCCAGTTGGAAGAAAGGAACCACCTTCACCTGCATGGTCATCCATGAAGCCCTGAAACCAATGAAGTTCACCCAACGCAACATCCACATTCTTCCTGGTAAATGAAGACGGCTCCTCCCAGCCCCACTGCTAGCATTGTCTGGTAGAGCTTCCTGTAAATAATCTCTGTGCCATAAGTGATGACAAGTGAATAAATGGAACTAGTGTGCGCTCACCCTAAGGTCTCCTTGTTGTGGTGTCACTGGGTGAAGTCTATGAGTTTTCCAAGATGGAGAAATTCTCAGGTTGGGAGCTCGGAGATACTCCAATCCTGGAGATGTTATTATGCGGATCCTGTATGTGTGGGTGCATCTATACCATGGAGGTGTGGGTAGCTACATGGGGAGATGCTGTGGAAGGAAGTATGGGTTAATACCATGAAAAGAGAAACAGAGTTAGACCATTGAAGGAAGGACGAGTGGACACAAGAGTAGACTTCATGGAAGAAAGGATGGGTGGATACATAAGTAGTTGACATGGGAGGAAGGATGGATGGATACATGTGTAGATGACATGAATGGAAGCATGGGTTGACACATAGATCCCATGAAAGGAAGGACTGGTTGATGTCATTGAAGAAAGGATAAGTTGATGGCATGGAAATAGGATCTATTGAAGGCATGGTAGGAAGGATGTGTAGATACAAAAGTTGAAAACAAGTAAAGAAGGGCGACTAGATGCCCTGGAAGGAAATATAGGTTGAGGCCATAGAAGGAAAGATGGGTAGATGCCATCAAGGAAGGGTGGGCTGATGCTATTGAAGAAAGATTCAGTGGCTACATCATGGAATCAGTGTTGGAGAGAGGTCTAGATAGACAGTTAGGGTACGTCTAGACTACAGGCTTTTGTTGACAGAAGTTTTGTCGACACATACTGTCGACAAAGCTTCTGTCAACAAAGAGCGTCTAGACTACATTCAGTTCTGTCGACAAAGCAAGCTGCTTTGTCGACAAAACCCTGTAGTCTAGACACAACCCTAGATGCAATAACACCTTCTGTCGACAGAACTCTTTCAACAAAAGGCGTTAGGCCTCGTAAAATGAGGTTTACCAGCATCGACAAAACTGCTGAGTTCTGTCGACATTATGTTGACAGAACTCAGTGGTAGTGTAGTCGCAGGTATAGTTTTGTCGACAAAAGGGGACTTTTGTCGACAAAACTCTGTAGTCTAGACACACCCTTAAAGATATACATAGAAATTGCAGAGGAACAGATACGTTCAAGCCCAGCTCAGTTGGAGGGCCATGTGTTCTCAGAGCAGGTTTCAAGAATACATACGTATTTCGGAGAGGAGTAAGAGACCAAGATATATCTCAGAGCGAGTGAATTATATGAAGTGAAGTAGGGCTCTGTTAGGCATAGACACTGGAGTCAAAGGGGTCTAAATAGAGAAAGAGGGAGAAGAGAGACACCGAGGTTGGAAGGGACCTGCCCAACCTTACATCAGTTACCAAGTTAGTTTCAGAGCCCAGTTCCATTAGGATGCATTTTAATGGGGAATCAATGGCTGGAAAGTTTACGGGGGACATGGGGGTACCAGTGCATCCATGGCTGGGGATGGATGGGTAAATCTATGGAGAAGGTTGGAGGGGGGACCCATTCTGAAGCATGAAGGAATGGATGTGCGAGTGGTGACAGATGGACTGTGAGAGATTAATGGAGAGAGATGGAGATCAGCACCGATGGGGATGAATGGTGACAGGAAAATGAGAATCCATGGTGAAGGGTGGATGGATGGATGGATATGCAAATAGATGGATGCGGATGTAGTAGTATGGTGTTCATAGATCAATATGAATGCATGGAAATTATGGAGGATGGAGTTTCCAGATTAGGATTGGATGGAGTGTAGGATGCCCGAAGGGGCGGGAGCTGGATTGCTGGATGGTTTAGCCATCCGTGGCACCTCATTCAGACAGATCTCCTCTAGGATATTACCATTGTATCAGCATCAACCTATACCCTACACCCACTGCCACCACAGACAGGAGCAGAATCCCCACGGGGATTTTCCAGACAGAGTCAGAGGGGGTAGGTAATTCAAACACCCTTGCCCTCATACACAATTCACCTGCTGGCTAGGAGGCCAAAGACTCTCCCTCCACCCTCATCCCCTCTGATCCCCAGTAGCAGCTGAGGAGGGGGACCCAGGACAACATACAGTAAATGCCACAAGCAGGGATCAGTTACAGTCACTAAGTCCTTGCAAAGTACCAGCAGTAGTAGGTCTGTTATCCAGAGCAGATACCAAACTAAGCTGAAGTCTCTTTTCCTCTGGTGACCTTGAGGGCCAGTGATATAAAGGGCTCAGATAGTGGTGTGGCCCACATGATGCAGATTCTGCTATTGCCCCCCACATGGGCCCCATCTCCTTCCTGCCCCCAGGGTCTCTCCATCTGTGTATCATCCCGAGAAAGGCATGGCTAAGATCAGGGATCACACCAAGCAGTGCTAAGCACAGAGCTGGCACCTGGGGTTCAAAGGTACCCACTTGCAGGGCAGGTGTTAGGGCTGCTTTCCTGGGGGCAACACAGGAGCTGGAAGGGGAGGTCACAAAATGTAGGAGAGTGAGGGGCTGGCTTAGCGAGCAACAGAGAAAAAGAGAGAGAGAGCTACTCTGGTACACATGGGCACACAGGTCACATGGCATGACACAGGATTCTACTCCCCTGGGTTCTCCTGGTTGTACACACAGAGAGACACCCAACACAGGGAGACAAACATGACCCCACACCCATCTATGCAGCTGTTCTTTTGACAGCTCTAGGGAAGGGGGTTTTCTAGTGGGGGGAGGCACTAGAATATATCATATCCAGCTGGAAAACACAGGGGCTGTCTCTACACTGGGCCACTTATTCTGGAAAAGCAGCTGCTTTTCCGGAATAACTTGCCAGCTGTCCATACCGGCTGCTTCCTTTTCCGGAAAAGCACTGACGAGCTACTGTAAAATTGTCAGTGCTTTTCCGGAAAAACTATGCTGCTCCCGTTCGGGCAAAAGTCCTTTTCCGGAAAAACTGTTCCGGAAAAGGGCCAGTGTAGACAGCACAGTAGTGTTTTCTGCAAAAAAGCCCCGATCGCGAAAATGAAGATTGGGGCTTTTTTGCAGAAAAGCGCATCTACATTGGCCACGGACGCTTTTCCGGAAAAAGTGCTTTTCCGGAAAAGCAACCTGCCAATGTAGATGCGCTTTTTCTGGACATACTTATAACGGAAAACTGTTCCATTTTAAGCATTTCCGGAAAAGGGTGCCAGTGTAGACGTAGCCAGGTGGTTTTCTTCAGAATAGCAACAATGTTCAGCATCCCCACGTCCCACTCCCGCTCCCTATATGATCATCCCCAGAGATGGCTGAAGTGTCTCCCAAGCTTATAGGTGCATTGAGATGTGGGTCATGGAGTACCTGCAGCAAACCCAGGCATTCTGGTCTTTGGGGGGCTTCCTGAACATGGCAATGTCCCGGCACTTCACTCACTCCTATGGATTTAACTTCTCGGGGATCTGAAGCCAGCTTTTGCAGACAGGGAAATGAAGGCACATTGAAATTTAACACTGGCAAATTTCACCATCTGGGGATGTGGCCATGGCCACATGAGATGAGTGAGGTTCTGCGTCCATTTCATCTCCATAGGCTGTGGTGAATGAATGGAGGGAACTGTGGAAGTGAAAGTGTGTGAGAGGCAGGGATGGATGTGTCTAAAGATGGGTGGATGGAGGCATCAATGGATAAATTAATGGATGGGTTTAGCTAGAAAGATATGAATGGAGACGTGCTTCTCTGGATGATTGGATGGATGGAGGTGGCTAGAGAGGAGCAGTGGAGGCATGGATGGATAGATGGATGGATGAATGTGCCTAGGGATGGATTCTTGGGGTATGTGGAACGAGGTGTACTGGTAGTTCGGAATAGGAAGCCTAGTCCGAACTACCTAGTTCGAGCCCCGTGTAGCCGCGCTGCACGGGGTTCGAACCAGCGGGGTTTTAAAAATGGCGGCTCCCCGCTTATGCAAATGAAGCCCGGGAAATTCAAATCCCGGGCTTCATTTGCAAGTGCGGTATGCCTACATTACCCTCCTAGTTTGAACTAGCAGGGTAGTGTAGACATACCCTTGGAGGTTTTGTGACCATCATTAGATACACGTATCTGGAGATGCAAGGGTGGAGCACCATCCATGGATGGATGGTGGTGTCTAAGGATGGATTGATGGATGGGTAGATGGTGTGTGGTCATGGATAAATGGAGGGGCAAAGGGGATGAATGGATGGATTTTTGTGGGTTGGATATAGGGTTTGTGGTCATGAATGGATGGCTGTATCTAGTGGTGGCTGAATCGGTGGGTAGATGGGTAGAGATGTCAAGGAGTAGATTGGTGGATGGATAAATGGATGGTTTGTGATTATGGATGTAGAGTTGAATGGAAGGATACATGGATGGATGATTTGTTGTCTTCAATAAATGGAGCTTTAATTTTTATGGACATGTGCATAGTTTGTGGTCATGGGTAGAAGGATGGATGGATGGATGGAGCAATGGATCTAGTGACTGATGGATGGATGCATCTATAAACGGAAGTGTAGAGAGGTATAGGTTGAAGGATGGAGGTGGGAAAGGTTGGACCTATGGATGGATAGTTGGCTTGTGGCCATGGATGAATGGAGAAAGGATTGGGGGAGGGATTTATGTCAAGATGGACAGATGGTTTGTGGGGTGGATGTATAGTTTATGGTCATGTGTGAATGGGTGAATTAGAAATTCCTGAGTGCAGGCATGAAAAGATGAAGGTGTCTTGTGATTCTCATGTGAATAGATCGGTGTGTGGTTTATGGCCATGGGTAGAGGGATGTAACTAAAGATGGACAGGCATAGGTGGATGTATGGCTGGATGAGTTGTGGTCATTGACACATGGAGGTTTAAGTGGGGATGGATAGATGGAGGCATGGTTTGTAGAGATGAATTGACAGAGCTGTGAGGATGGATTGATGAATGTGTCTAGAGATGGAAGGAAGGAGGCAGATAGGTGTTATGTCTTGGGATGGATGGATGGTTTGTGGGGATGGATGGATGGAGTGGTGAGGATAGATGGATTTGTCAAGAGAGGGAAGGAATGAGGCAGAGAAGGTGATATGTAGGGATGGACAGAAGGATGGTTCGTGGGGATGGATGGGTGCCTTATGGCCAGGGATAGATGAATGTTCCCAGAGAGAGTTGAGCGGAGGGATGGAACAATGGGTGGATAGAGGGTACATCAAGGGTACATCTAAACTACATGCTTCCGTCAAGGGAGCCATGTAGATTAGTGTACTCAAAAAAGGGAAATGAAGCAGCAATTTAAATAATTGCCGCTTCATTTACATCAAAATGGCTGCTGCGCTGTGCCGATCAGCTGTTTGGCGGCACAGCGCGGTAGTCTGGATGCTCTGCGGTTGACAAGGGAAGCCTTTGTCGACCGCCCTGGTAAACCTCATTTTACAAGGTATAACGGGGGGGGGGGGCAAACAAAAGATTTCCTTGTCGACCGCGGAATGGTTGACAAAGAAAGCCCTTGTCGACTGCCCCGATAAACTTCATTCCACAAGGCATTCCCTTGTCGACCTCATTCCACGAGGCTTTCCTTGTCGACCGCGGAGCATCCAGACTACCGCGCTGTGCCGCCAAACTGCTGAACAACACAGTGTGGCAGCCATTTTGATGTAACTGAAGCGGCGATTATTTAAATTTACGCTTCATTTCCCTATATCTAGAAGCCTCATTTACATGGTTCCATCGACGGAGCCATGTAGTCTAGACATACCCCAACTGCTGTTGGGTACAACATCTGAGCTTTTGCTCTTGCACAGGCTGACACAGAGGTGACGTCTCATTCTCTCCCCCAACAGAGGTGATCACGTCCGGCGATTTTTGCAACGAGGACGGCGACGAGGATCTCGACAGCCTCTGGAGCACCATCTCGGTCTTCATCACCCTCTTCCTCCTCAGTGTTTGCTACAGCGCCACGGTGACCCTGTTCAAGGTGAGAGAGGGTGAAGGTAGCAGGGACAGGGGGAGCCAGGTAAGCACGGTTGGGTGCATCATGGGAAGGAAGGAAAGACGGGAGACACGAAGGAGAAAGAAGAAAAGCTGCTTGAGACACTGGCTGAATGAATGAGACACAGACATAAAAAACAGACAGAATGACACCGACAGACAGACAGAGCAGTTTCCCACCCCCAGCTCTGAGCCCCCTCTCACGCCTGCCCTCTCTGTCCGTACCCTTTGCAGGTGAAATGGCTTTTCTCCACCGTGGTGCAGCTGAAGCGGGCGAACGGCCCTGAGTACAAGAACGTGATCCAGCGAGTGGTGTAGGAGCGCTGCCCCCTTTCTTTGGCATTGCCGTCCTGACTCCCACAGTGCCCTCCTGCAGCTCGGTGCCCTGGTAGATCCCTCTGGTGTGGGGCAAGAGTGACTCACCTCCTGTGACCTCCTGAGCCCTCAGCCGCACTGCCCTGCTGTGAACTGGGCTGTGACCAGGCACCTTGTGTCACGCAGGGAGCCAGCGCCTCAAGCAAGGAACCAACCTGCGTCCCACGTCCCACTTGCACCCAGCAGTTCCCTGCTGTAGGAGTGGGTCAGAGACAGAGCCCCCTAGAGGAGAAGCTGCCCATGTCCTGGTCCCAGCCTGCCCAACCCATCCAGCCCCTCGAATTCTGCCTTGGACATACACAGCGCCCCCTAGAGGAGAAAATACTCATGTCCCAGTCCCAGGGCTGTGTCTGTCATGCTTTATGTTGTATACGGAGCTCCTCACTGGGAGTCGTGTGTGGCATGTTTGAGACTTTCGTTGTTTGCACTGAGTAATAATAAATAAATAGAGGACCTGCTCAGGCTGTGTTTCTTTCTCAGCCTCCACCCCTGCCTTGAAAGGATCCCTGGGACCCACCAGAGAGCTGCATTGTGTGTTCAGGAAGCACCTCCAGGTAGGGTCCATAGTTGTAAAGTGGCCCCTAAATCCGAGTGCCTACTGACAAACCCAGATATCTGGGATTTCATCCCTGAGCTCCTAAAGGCTTCGAAAGAGGGGTGGGAAATGGAAAGAAAGAAAGAAAGAAAGAAGGAAAGAAAGAAGGAAAGAAGGAAAGAAAGAAAGAAAGAAAGAAAGAAAGAAAGAAAGAAAGAAAGAAAGAAAGAAAGAAAGAAAGAAAGAAAGAAAGAAAGAAAGAAAGAAAGGTGGAGTAAGTTCAATGAGGAGACAACCTTGTTCTCAAGAAGTTAAATAGGTAAGAAAACATTTCACTTCATCTCAATTTTTCTTTACACCAAAATCTGACCTTTCGGAGAGGCTGCTATGGGTATTTACAGAGATGGACAAATGGTATGGGAAGGAAGAGAGAGAAGGAGAGAGGGTTGGATATGTGTGTAGGCACCAGCTAGACCCAGACACACAATGGCTAGCATTCTCCTTCATCTCCTTGGCAACTCCCCACCCAAGACCACCTTGAGATGCAGATCACAATTTTAAACTCGTTTTATTTTGGCTCCAACACTTGATTCCTGTCTCCGTTGCATGAGGAACGTTGGATGGGATTAGATCTCAGGGCACTGCCCATCTATCCCCACCCACCCATGCATCCCCACGCACGAGCAAATCCAATCCTGGCTGTGAGAGGTGGAGGAATACGGGGCTGGGTTCCACCTCCAATGTGACTGCTCCCTGTGGACGTTCGGGGAAGTTCTCTGCCCTCCCTGCTCTGGGACAGGCAGAGCTCACGCCCTTTCATGGCTTCCTTCGTTTAAGCATAACAGTATGGCTCCTTCAGAAGGGTTCGTATAAGGTAGGAGCTGAGCAGCACTGAAAATAGATGGAGTCCATGAAAAGAAAGGAGGAGTCCAGAGCTGAGCACTCACCGCACCTGGAGACACAGGAAGGAGAGGGATTCAGCTTGTGCTGGTGTTGGGGTCAAGGGCAGCATCCCACACTGAGGGTATGTCTAGACTACACGCCTCTGTCGTCAGGGGCATGTAGATTAGGCTACCCGGCATAGGGAAATGACGCGGTTTAAATAATCGCGATTTCATTTCAATTAAAATGGCTGCCACGCTCTGCCGACCAGCTGATGATCAGCTGCTTGTCGGCAGATCCGGGCAGTCTGGATGTGCCACGGTCGACAAGGAAGCCTTTGTCGACCGGCACAGGTATGCCTCGTGAAATCAGGTTTACCTGCACCGGTCGACAAAGGCTTCCTTGTCGACCGCGGCACGTCCAGACTGCCCCC